TGGTTATGACATTCATATTGATTTTGGAGTTAATATATTGTGATTTTCTAAGGTGGCTTGGAATTTTGGATCATATTGTCTCTTGCTAGCTATAATTCTGTTGTTTAGGATTTAAGAATTCTAATTAAGCATTGGTTTTTAGCATCCTTAATCCTATTTTACTATTCTGGTTGCAGTTAGTAAGTTAGGATTTTAGGAAAATATTTTGTGGCAACTCGAGGTGGCTCGGTTGTTGGATTAAAAGCATAATTATAATTCTAAATTCATTGTTTTAACTCCCGTATCTTTTAGAGTGATGATTGCCTGTGTTGTTGAATTGGAGGATTGATTATTATCATTGTTACTTGTGTGTTTCATTTTCATTTCTTTTATCTTCATTTATTTCAATCATTTTTATATATAAAAAAGAAGGTATTTTAATTTCAATTCAATTCAAGGCATTTAATTAGCAATTTTTCAAAATCAAAAAAAATTCCTTTTATAGTTTAGGTTACTTGTATTTATTTACTAGGATTTAATTTCGTTTTCGGCTCCTCAAAGTGAATACGACCCGGATTGTGCACTATATTGCATTAATTTGGTTAATATTTAGAGTAACTCCAAAGCGACAAATTAAGGGTAAGTTTTCTTCATAGTTCAATTAAAACAGTTTTTTTTTTTTTACCAGAGTTCAATTAAAACAGTTAACTTTATTAAATTTGTCACATATTAATATTGTTTCTAAAAATATCCTCCAATTAATGGTTAAATTAAAATGCTACACCACAATTGTTGGAACAAAGGATTTAATAATCGCACCATAGGCCCTAGACTCGCGATTTCAGTTCGAGTACACGTTTTTAACCATGTCTTTGTGTGAGTTTTTGAAGGGGCAAGCGCATGTAAGGGCAAATTTACAAGTTTTTTACTATAAATAATTTACTTGGTGTCCTAAAATAGTAAGCTCTTATGATTCAGAATGCAATTTTGATTACAATGGCTACAAATTATATGCTCCGTCCATTAATTCTTTTTTTTAATAAGAAACAACTATTAAAATTAAGGTGTTCAAAATGTTAATTGAATTTAATTAAAAATAGCAAAAGTGTAAAATATATACACATATTTTTAATTATGCCCTTCTTTGTCAAGAGAGTACATGGGAGATAGTAAATGAAAATTTATTATAGAGAGATGATAACTGACATATACTAATTGGCGGGTAAAAGTGAAAAAAAAAAAGATAATAAATGACATATACTCATTGGGGGGTAAAAGTAAAAAAAAAGAAGATAATAAATGACATATAATCATTGGGGGGTAAAGGTGAAAAAAACTAGTTTATGTGATAAATAAAAAAAATATATAGAGAAGAATCATACAAAGAAAAAGAGGATCAACAAGAGAGAGTATTTCTTATTTCATTTAAGAGTACTCAATACATTATATATGGCCTTTATTTATAGGTACAGTTTTACACCTTTAATAGAATCTACAGATTACAGAATAATATGAAATAATTGTGGGATATAGAGATAATGGGAGATATTAGAGATTATAAGAGATATAAGAGCTAATGGGAGATATTAGAGATTATAAGAGATATAGGAGATAATAGGAGATATATAGACATCTACAAAGATATTATTATATTCATAACACTCCCCCTTAGATGTCCAATATATATGAATATGCCTCGTTAAAAAACTTCAACTTGGAAAAACCCGGTGGGATAAAAACCTAGCGAAAGAAAAAGAATATATTATTCATTGATACACTATGCAATGCTGTCTCATTAAAAACCTTACTAGGAAAACCCAGTGGGACAAAAACATAGACAAGGAAAAAAGAGTATAACATGTATCAACTCTCTTTTTTGGCAATATCAGTTGACATCTTCGAGCCTATAAAATCTAATATAACAAACAACTCTTCCAAATATTGTAATAAGATAAAAACATCAAATATGAATTTTATAATCTTCTGAAAATCATGAGACAAATAGTCATTTTATGGTTTACCCATACATAAATCATACTATAATCTCTTGACATGAGGATCAAACAAGAATACTTTATCTATATAGCCATTAAGATTAGTCTTGGGTACTTTCAGATAAAATAGTATTACTTCCATGGCACCCTTAAAGTAACGAAGAATATTTTTAATTCCATTCCAACATCTTTATGTTGATAAAGAACTATGCCATACTAATCAGCAAATGATATATCAGGTTCTATATGGCTAGATATCTAAATGCTTCAATAATACTAAGATATGGTACTTCTGGACTAAGTGTTTATTTAATACCTTCTGGAGGTCTAAATCGATTTTTAGTCCATATCTAAAGATCTTGCAACTACCAAAACACATAATAGATGTTACTTATCTACATAATGGATGTGACCTATCCATATGTATTCTTCCCAAAACTTTCATTTCAAACTTTTTCTTTAAGTAATTCGTAGCTTTTGAAGACTCATAAGGAGTTTCAATGCTATCATCATAAATAGTACTGATAACAAACTCATTTTGAATCTTTTCACAAATAAACAAGTTGGAATATGTTTACATTACTCCTTCAGTCGATATTAACCATATATGTCTCATATAGAGATTTAATTGAATAGTGTTATTGAGAACATGATTGTAGGCTTCTAGAAACTAAAATCTTTCAAGGATTTTCATACATTATGATCTAAATCTGTTCATGTATTGGATCATTTGAATTTATACAAGGATTTGAATCCTTTTAGGATTCACATATAATTTCACTATAAAGTGAGCTATACGTTATAGTTATGTATTTCTAAAATGTACATGAAAAAAACTTCATTTATTACCAGACTGCTAGATTAATAAGACATATAATTTAATCTACCACAAGACTTTTTTTCTCTTAATTTTGTACAAATGCCTATTTACATAAGACTAGTATGACACTTCAAGTGCATAGGCTAAGGATATACAAATCCCTGTTACATTGCGTCTTTTCTTTTCTGTTAGCTAACCATTTTTCTGTCTGTATCTCATGACATATTTATATATAAGATCCTTATTTGATCATTTGATATCATCAATAAAATTATTGTCGACAATTGTATTCCTTTAACGGTCCTTTTTTTAATGACATAACCTATCGAGATCTGCTTATTGCTTTCAGACACTTAAACCTCTTCGGGGGTCAAAGAATTATGTCTTAACCTCTTTTGCAATTCATGCCTCCTTAATATGATCATCATAATCATTTGTTCTTCTTTTTTTTTTCTTTTGGAACCGATCATAATTTCATGCTTTTAGTATATCTTTAAGAATAGGAACACTTTTAGCTGGAATATAAGAATTAAGAATTCTCATTTAGGTCAGTAATTGCATCTGGCACATATTAGTAATGTTTTACGAATACAATACTTTATGAACTTCTAGTTCATACTACTACATTTGAGGATTTACATTTGATAGTGAAAATGCATTTTATGTGTTTTCTTTTCCAACTATACATTTTCTCCCCCTTATATTGGGAAAATGTAATGTAGGTCTTCCAAATCTATAAATCTCCTTTAGAAATATTATTTTGTTTCATTTAGAGACAAGCAAGAATAAGAATATTCTTATCTAACAGTGATCCCACCTTACTTTTAATATCCATCTATGTACATTATTGCGGTGGAATAATAGATATTGCACATTCTAAGATGAAAAATGTCTGGATTCTGACCAAAAGCCAATTATAATGGAAAAATTCATAATACATTGTTGGCTTGATGCATTTATGTGCAAAAATATATAAAACCAATCATCCCAACACTCAAATGGGAATTATGTTCTCATAAACTCTAATCTAGCTACTTATGGAGGCTTTTACTAAACATATAATTATCAACAACGTGAGGAACAATCACTACAATCTCAACGAGAATCATATTGATTTCATAATCAAAAACTTATATACCCAATGTAATTATTTGAACATATTTGCACATTTCATATTGCAAGTTGACCATAAATACCTGTGACCATTTTATAGATGCATCTTTCATTTATAGAGTATTACTTTGGCCCACATGGTGTCTAAATGGGCCATAAGTTGATACATTATAAATATGCACGGATTCGATTTTGAGCATAGCTAGTGATGTTCTCTTATTTAGTTCTTTTGAGAACAAACAACGCATAAAAATTCTTGAATCATATATCATTTTTAAAGAATCTTTTGGTTCTTTAATAAATGACAATACACATTTTTCATGATATTTTTCATCATTATGATCTAGGATGATCTGACCGATCATGCCAAACTATAAATGCATAAACTTCTGGTTTATTGTAAAGTTATTCTCAATTATTAGTAAACTTCTTGTTACCATGTCATATTATTCATTTTTTACCTTAATATTTCATAAGGAATATACTATTAATTATGGATTTTATCTTCAGGATAATAAATCATGATGTAGCTCTTCTATAATGTTATTTTTCATCTTTTACCCAATGGTAAAGACTTGCACACTCATGAAAGGTTGGACGCTACTAACTCTTCTGGAGCATTTTTCAAAAGGAATATGAGATATAAGTAATGACTTTAATATTAATAATAACAAATTCCATCCAACATAATTCACACTTGTATTTCAACAATCTCTCCCTCAAATGTGAGTCATATAAATATTTTTTTTTATATTTCAAATAGAGTAAATAGCATATAGTAAGCTAATAATATATCTTTAACTTAGAAATCCAAATGCTTCCTAATTCAAATATAATAATGAATTTCAATCCAATTGCACTATCACCTTAAGACCCTTTAGATAAACAAATATTCTAATATATATGTTTGTGGGTCATAATTTTCATTATCAATGGCCAGTTCTTTAGAAACTATATCAACCTTTTGTTATTAGATAAAGAGAATTTATTTTTTATATTTAGGGACAAAATTATAAGAGAAATTATTTCTTATAAAAAGGAAAGGGGGAGTGTTGAATGTTGAACTTGTCTTGCAACAATAACGAAATAATAGATGCTCAACAAAGAAGTATATTCTGTTGACAAAAGGGCTTGTTATTCTCATTCAACTCAATTACAAATATCGAGTAAACGTGACAATGCTCTTGAAGTAGTTCTTCTATCTTCAAGAGAAGATCTATCATCTCTCTACCCGATTAATCTTACTCCTATGGTATAATGAAATAGTGTCGCTCAGGGTGGTTATTTATGTACCATAAATGTAGGTCCCTGTAATTAATCTCAAAGTTAATTAAATGACTCATTCTTTCCAGTCTTGTTTTTCTTCTTACGTGGCTCCCAGAACTTGAAATTAACAGACCGATCTTCCAGCATCTTCTCCACATCCTCCATGGGAAGCCCTTTAGTTTCAGGAACAAAGATGATGACAAAGAAAACAGCTACAACAGCAATGACACCAAACAATAAGAAGGTCCACGAAGTTCCTATGGATTTTGTCATGGTCAAGAAGGTTTGAGATACAATGAGGTTGGAAATCCAAAGTGCTGTAGAAGCGATGCCACCACAGATTCCTCTGTACCGTAAAGGGTATAATTCAGAGTTCATGACCCAAGGAACCGTTCCCATTCCAGGTGAGAAGGAGATGATGTAGAGAGCGAGTCCTAATATTGCTACCCAACCAACTTTGCTGGGACAACCCTCCGTGTACCAATCTCTTTTTTCGCTTTTGCATTGCTTCTCTGACATTTGACTTGTCACCAAACATGCCCCCGGCGATAGCTGCACAACAGCAATTCACAGTTTTATCTTATGAGCATGAACATAAGTTTATTGAAGTGCATAAAGGAACAACTTATGTGGTGTGAAAATAAGAGTTTTGGTGAAAGAATTATATGAAGGCAGAACATTTATGGTGCTCACTTACTCTATCTCCCCCCCTCAATTTTCCGCATCATTTATTCGAACTCTATGTAAATTTCGTAATAAACTATACTAGAAAATTTCCAACTTAATTGAGCAACGTGTTGGATCATGAAAGGGCAGCGCCCAAGGGATCTCTAAGGATCTAGCCATAGAAGATAATGATTTTTCATATTTTTATGTAATCGTACAATATTTTTATCTGTTGCTGTAAGGATTCAATGTAAACCCGCCAAAACAGAGTTAGACTGAGGATATTGTAAGGCTTGGCTCAAGCACACTGCATTGTCAAGTCAAGTAGATTGATATGAGTAATGAGATGTTACCTTATCAGATTTGTCGGCACAGAATCCACAAACTGGATTAGCTTTGAGGCAAGTCATGCAATGCCAGGAACTGGCATCCGCTGCTGAGGCGTAACTAGCGCAAGTGTTATTGAAGTGTTTGGTTGCAATAGGGCTGACCATAGGAGAGTGAGTACTGGCAACTTGAAATATAGCAGTTAGAAGACCAAGTGAGCAAGCAACACCAACCAAACTGATAAGGGCAAGCTTCTTCCTCCCAGTTCTATCAATAAAGTATATGCTCAAAATAGAGCCAAATGCATTGAGTCCAGACGTGATGAGTGATAGAAGGAGTGCCGTTTGATTTGAAGCAAAACCAGCTAATTGGACTATTGTGGGGCTGTAATACATCACTGTGTTGATTCCCACGAATTGCTGAAAGATTTGAAGGCCTACCCCTGCATACAACCCTCTTCTTACTGATTTGTTTTTAAACATGTCACTCTTCTTAATATTTTTTGCCTCGTCCTGTATTTTCATTTCTAGTTGAACTTGATCGTGCAAGGCTTGGATTTCAGCTTCAACATCGTCAACATAAATCTTCTTCAAAATTGCTTTAGCTTTTTCTACCTCTCCCTGTTATACACACATTTTTGACATAGATTAGTCTATCATAGAGTTAGACATTATTGTTTTCAAAACATAGCAATTTTTGGTGCAGCACCTTTCTGTAAAGCCAACGTGGTGATTCTGGGAGCCAGAACATCAGAATAATTTGTATCAAAGCAGGTAAGGCTGCCACTCCTAACATCCACCTCCAAGTTCCTGAGGTCTGAAATAAAAGATCATCCATGTATTTATAAACTATACTACCGAGCTATTTCGTTGACTAAATGTTTTCAGGGGAAATGAAAATGAAGGACTTGAAAAGGAACAAGAGCATATTAAGGCCCCCAAATTTTGGAAAAGTACAATAAAAGAAGTAGATCCTCGTTAGGTTGATTTGAAAATTCTAACTAGATATCAATTATAAATTGTCAAAAATTCATTTGTATATCTAAAATTTCTAACAAAATTGAGTAATAATTTCCTATATCTATTATAAAATTCTTATCATAAGTTATTAACAGAAAAGAGAACTAGTCAATTGACGAAATAGATAGTCAACCTCCAAAGTTATATGAAATATTTGAAAACATTTCATGGAACCTAACAATTGACTAACTCAATTCATCAATGGATTGTTGTTATCCTCATTCACAATTGATTTGCATCACTTTCTAACGTCATTTTCCCAACTTGATATGTTCTATCCCATTATAGCATAATATCGCATAGTAACTGTGCAAAACTATGGATAACGTAGACAGCAGCAGGTATTATCTCACCTTAGTGAAGGCCAAGTTGATGAGGTAGGAGAGGAATTGACCTCCAGTTATGAGGAAGCTATTGAGAGCAACAAGGGCGCCTCTAATTTTACTTGGAGAAGTCTCTGAAATGTAAAGAGGAGAAGCCATGGAAGCTGCTCCAACACCAAGACCAACAAAGAGACGGCCAACAATGAGAACAATGGGGTTGGGAGCAGCGGCCATGATGACAGAGCCAGTAAGGAAGAGGAAATCTGCGATGAAGATTGTTATTTTCCTTCCAAATCGATCATTGACCCATCCTCCTACTGCAGCACCTATGATTGCTCCCACAAGTGCCATACTCACCACCATTTCCTGTAGTATAAACACCATTTCATCATGAATACATTAGGATATAAAGTAACACAACAAAAAGTGACTATATATATATATATGAGGTACACACCTCTGGCATCTTTTTCCTTTTTTTAATTTTTTTATCTCTATTAATATCACACACACAAACACATCCTACATCTTTAACGGCACAGTGTGAAAGGAAGCGGATCCTTTGAAGCAAATGACGGTAAAGTCGTCTAAACTTGTTTCGAAGTGAATAACTTCAATTTCACAACATTTCAATCGCAGGAATTTATCATGTATTATTTCACTTATCCTTGCCTCCAAATATGTTGAATGTTCATTCTCAATTTAATTTCTGGTGGTGTTTATTTTCTCCATTTGTTTATTGTAACTTCATTTTATGCACTAGCTAATATTTACTAAGTTTTCCGTAAAAAAATACAATAAAAATAGCTAATATTCACTACGTTTTGCCTAAAAAAATACAATAAAAATATCGAAGTTTAATCATTTATATGATGAGGGCAAGGGCAAGTAAACAGTTTGGGTGTGCGCGTTTTGTGTTTGTCTTGACAATATCAAATTTAAATTTCTTAGGCCGATAACCCGTTGAGGTCAATCAGATGAACACTTAAAGCCTCTTCGGAACAAAAAGCAGTTTTTCTATGAAAAAACAGATTTATTTATCTTTTAAAAAGAGGCTCCTTTTTTCTTTTTCTTTTTTTTTCCCCTCTTAACCCTGCTTTTCTGGGGGAAGAAATAATTGTTCTTAAACTTAATAAGAACATATATATATTTCCACTATAAAAGCGGGAAAAAAACAAAGGCAGATAATAAACAAGTGCACAGACTTTCCTTCCAATTCTTAATTATCATGTTATACCCTGAAACAGTTTTATAACCTATAATCATCTCGTTTTTCATTCTCATTTTAATTACCACTTAAATATTTATTTTTTATATTGTAATATTTTTAATTTATTTAATATATTAATTATTTTTTATATTGATTAATGTTCTTGTATGTTTATTTTGGTTTTATTCTATATTTGTAATAAGAGGAAATTTCAATTAAAATTAAACAGAGTTAATCTTAAAAATCATGTCTTCATTTGCGTATATGTCAAGAGGGCCTTTTTGGGGGGTCACCCCCCGGGGGGGGAGGAAGAGGGCCTTTTTGGGACAACTTGTAACGTGTATGGTTGAATGACTTCAAGACGGCGGAAGGATAAAGGATTAGGAAAACCAAGGGAGAAAAGCATAGTCGTTCTACTTATTTACTATTTTTAGTCCAAAAATGTTGGGGACCTGTTTGCCAAAAGAATCCTGAAATTCCGGATCCTACCAATTATTTTTGGAAAAATAGCAAAAAAATCTTAAAAATTAAAAAATAACATATAAAGACCTGTTCACAAAAATGGTTGTCATTTGGTTATCAGTTGTTATCAAAACTGATACTAATATTATAATAGGTCCCTATTTATAATTTTTCCATTTCCAAAATCTCTTTTTTTTCTTACAATTTTCCCATTATTTTTTGGCCATAGCCACATAACTTCCCCCCCCCTATGTCACCACATAATCTATTTTTCTCTTGTTAACCCAAACATCATGAAAACAGTGAAAACTTACATTTTATAAACTATTATGAATTTTCATTCCAATCAAATTTTTTTTTAATAAATTATAGAAGAGGGATCCGATTTTTCTTCTTCCTCTTTGCCTTCTATAATTAAGAAGAGACTGACTGAACCAAAACTGAGAGGATGCTTTGTTGTTTTTCAAAAACTGATTGAAACGTGTGTCCAAGACGCATGAAATTCACGAGAAAGATATATCTGAATCGAATGAAAAAAGTGATCTCCTATTCATTAACAAACTGAAGCAAAACGAGCATATCACCTGCAGCCATGTCTTCTGCGTCATTTCAACGAACTCATCTCTTATATACAGAAGAGCCCCAGATATCACTCCTGCACGTTAAAAGAAAAAGAAAAAAAAGCCAGTGTTACTCTGTGAACAGAAAACATGAATTTCTTCTGCTCTCGAATGCATTTCGTAATCAAATGAAAACATGAAGACACACTTAGAAATTAAGAACAAGCAAAATTCGACAAAAAAAGTTCTCTCAGAACAACTAGACGTCAAATTGTTCATGGATGCTTATGGACTAGAACAGAGAAGAAGTAGGCGTGCATGAATCAGAGATTAAGAAACAAGAACAGAGTGAGAGACTGATTTTAGTTTTCCACAAGCTGAAGATAAAGCGAGACGGACGTACTCTCTAGATCTGACACACTTCAGACTTTAATCTGCCAAACCAAAAAAAAAAATCGATCTCCTTTCACCAATTAACTCAAATTGCAAAGGAGTAGAGAAAATGAGGATGTTGAACCGGCGAAAAACAGAAAACAACAAACAGAGGAACAAAGCTTCTTGCTGGAAACATCAACCGGCGGCATTGAAGATATCGAACTTAATTACTTGATCGGAAAGGAGAAAAAAAAAACAACAGAAGAAAGATGGAGAGCGTACCAGTATCATAGCCAAAGAGGAGGCCACCGATTCCAGCAGAGAAGGCGAGTTGAAGAATGTAAGGATTCTTGTAAGAGAGAGACAAACATGCTCGAAAAGCAGAGGCATCAACGTCAGAAGGAACACCGCCTTCCATGGACGGAACAAATACAGTCACCGGATTTGCGTGTGTGCGTGTTGCTTGAAGGGAATTGAAAGAGAGTGAAGAGAAAACGTGAAGAGTGAGGAGAATAGGAAGGAGGAAGGGGAGGGGGTAGAAGATATAAAGCGTGGCGTCTTCGTAGAGAATATAAAGGAGGAGAGTGAGAGGGGGGATCGGACCAGAAAACAAGGGGTGTGAGGTGGTTTGGTTTCATCGACACACACAGGCACAGCACATACACCGTTTCGCCTTGACCGTTATGGACTCTTCCTTTTTTCATTATTAACCACACTCGTAACCATTTACTATTTTTTTTTACTCCCCTAACTATCATCCGTTCATGCTACTTATTCTTTCAACTATAGTCCTTCATTCATTCGGGTCTGAATCAGTAATTTTTAAAATTTTGGAGGCCAAAGAAATTAAACATTATTCTAATAAAGATAAAAAGAGAAAACTAGAGAACAGTGCCCGTTAAAAGTTTTATTCATAAAAATGACCTGATAAATTTTTATACATAAAAACATATCAAGACTTTGCGAATTTTGTACAAATAAAATTTTTGATAGGGGACTTTTCTCCAATTTTATCTAAAACAATATGTGTAAATAACAATATGTTTTTTGTTATCTTTTTTTTTTAATATAAAGGAAAACACCAGTAATCACTAGAAAATCTCACAGTAAGTTAATATTACTTTCGATCCTAATTATAAGATTTCGTTTGTAGTCTATAAACGAGATTTTATAATAAGAACCGGAGGTTCTACAAATAAATTCTTATAATTAGAATAAGAGATGATTAATAACATGCAATTATAATTGCTGGTGAAGAAAATGATCCAATGTATTGTGAGACTTTTTTATAATTACTTTTTTTTTTTTTGGAATCCCGTGATAATTTTCTAAAGCATATGGCATTGGCTTGTGGCATTCTTTCTTCCGCTGAGGGTTTACACCGTGCATTGAAGTTTTCTTTTTATTTTCCCTCTTATTTTCTTCTTCTTTTAAGTCCAAAACATAATTAATTAGTAACTTGAGGACTTGTGAGAAAAATATATAGATCTCAATGTTTCTAATTTCTTTATTCAACTATTGTATGCGAAATTAATTTCCTCCTACCTATTTAAAGAGCTTGATCATTATTGATAACATTAATTAATTCAATTATAATATAAATTCTTTAGACATTACCTATATACTAGTTGAAATATCCAAAAAACCAACCAGAATTCGGTGGAAGGATTTCCAAAATCTAAATACTAGTTGAGTCGTTTGCCCTTGTCAATAGCAATTTTTACCCTAAAAATCACAATATATTGTGGGTGTATAGATTCCCTTTTAGCTAAAATTTTTTCAAAAAAGATAAAAAAGTGCAGGATTATAGGATTATAGGATTATAGCTCTCAGTATATTTGTTTAAAATGGATAAAAATTGTTCTGAAAATAAAATTAACTCACATCCTACTACCATGTTATGTGGCGACAACCTAATCTGTGCAAATATAACTGAATATGTTTTCTTTTTTGTTAACAAAACAAATCAATTGTAACAGAACTCACTTCTCTCTCATATTGTTTAAAAACATATTAGGACAACCTAACTTATATGATGGAATATATGGATTTTCTAGTGTTCAGAAACGTACTAGTAGTGTTTTTTCCCAGGCAAAAATACCCAAAAAAAAAAAAGATTTCGATTGGAACAATTTATTTTCTTAATCATGATTTTGATTTCAAAAAGAGTGAGACAAATAAATGTAAATTTAATAATGAAGAAATTAGAATAAAATACATGAATATAAAATTTTTTATACTATGATATAATAAAATACAAAAATACTGTATCAAAGGATTAAATTTTAAGCATGCATTGTCTGCGTTTATTTGCAGAGTTACAGATTAAATTCGCTGAGTTAATATTTTAAGATTAAGGAGCTAACAGTATAATCTATAAATTTAAGAGACTAAACTAAAACCTTGATGTAAAATTAGAAGATCAAATGTATGTTTTAGCTTATATCTAATTATACCCAAAAATATTAAAATGTAACTGGTACAAGACTTAAAAATATCATTATCTCTTTCATTTGTAATCTAAATGATCACTTTATAAATAAGTTAGCAGCCCTTATATATGAGGATTTACGTATGTTGATATCACATTGCTAATTGACCAAAAAAGAGTTGTGGGGTGAAGTATAAATAAAAAAACTTGACATTAATGAGAGGTTAAGCACATGATTATTTTGCGTACCTAATCTTACTTTTCTATTAATGATGGCAAAGATGATTCAACCAAATTTTAATTAACCAGAGAAAGCAAGTTTTCATTACCTGCAACTACTCCCTTCTAAAGCAATCACAGCATTTTGCTTTTTTTGGGCTTCCTCGTCTTACTCACTAATTTAAAAGATTCCAAACCATTTACAAAATTATATTATTCACATTATATTTAAAAAAAATTAATTATATCAAACCCACTTAAGTTTATGCATGCACACACCTTTTTAAAAACAAATCACTCAAAACTTATTGTTTAAAAATTTTATTAGTTAGAAGGACATGGTATATTTTTGTATGCAGAAAGTACCGATCTTTTATAAAATTTCATACACAGATCACCATTACTCAATTTTAAATCCTTTTAGTTAATAAAATTTTCAAACAAAAATCACCAGTTTTTTTAATTTTCTTTTTTATCAAATAATTTTATTCTTAAAATATTTTTAGAGCAGACCATGAAAAGAACAATGACATCAATAATTTAAGCACCATAAAAATAAATAAGTGTATTTAGTTAATAATAGTAGTGATATAAAAATATTGCATATATGGGTTGATTTCACTGCTCTAGTTTGTTGTATGATAAAAAAAAAAAGAAACAATTAAATTTCTAATAGATTCATTTTGCTTCAAACAATCTTGTATGCTCCCTCTAATGTCATGTATAGAGCATTTTTTTAGAAGGTGTTACTACTTTCTTAGCTTTAAAAAGTACTCCTCCGGTCCTTATTATAAGACCCAATTTGACTTTTTATTTGGTCCTAATTATAAGACCCAATCCATTTTCTCTCTTATATTTATGCATTTTTTTCCAAGATAATCCTTCTAATAATGATAGTTTTAGCCAATATACTTAATTAGCAAGGATATTTTAGGAATAACAATATTTATTTATTATAAATAACCAACTTAACTTACTTCCTTAATCTCCTCAAATAAGTCAATTGGGTCTTATAATTAGGACCGGAGGAGTATTAAGTATTTTTTATATACATTCATATTTAATAAAGCCAGTGAAAAAGAGTGGACAATAATATGATTTTAGAGTTTTGATTTATTATTCTGATTTTAAATGTAAAATTCATTTTACAGTATAACTTGCGTTGCAAAATTTGAGATGGTTTGCAACTATGACCGCTTCCACCGACCGTCTTGATCACTCCTCGCCCTTGTTTGGGTAAGGAAGACGGACCCAATCTCGTGCCTCGCATGTGGCACGTGATCTGGCCCCGCATGGGCACGTGCCCACTGTATCCATCCACGCTTCACTTGAGCCCGTGATCAGTCTTCCTTGCGTCATGTCATTTAAATAACATTCCAGATTTGTTTGGATTGATAATGTTTAGCAAAAAAATAATTTTTATTTCAACTGATTTTTTGCAAACTAATACTAAAATTTAATGTGATTTATATTAAGATATATGTTTATAAAAAGAAATCTAACTACTACCAAAAATAAATTAATAAAAAGAAATCTAACTTGAATAAAAAGTTAAGATTTTAAAAAAAAAAGTTGTTTCAATTTTCGAATAAAATGTCAATTACTCCCGAAACTATATAAAATATCTTCTTCTTTTTTTCAATCTAACTTAAGCTACCTTTCATGCTTAGAGTCATCCCAATCTAATATATATGTAACAGTGACATATACTAATATAAAAATTAATTGAAAATTCAATTTGACTCTAAATAATAATATAATACATTAATTTACTTTTTCTCTCAAATTCATATTTTTTTCTTAAAACATTTTTATTAATTGTAAAGGTTCTTACCAGGAGGTAGTTCTAATACATATGATTAAATGGGATAATTTAGAAAACACATATGTGATAAAAATAATCAACTTAACTAATTTTTTAATCTCTTTAAATTAATTATCTAACTCTTATATTAGATCATCAACGTAGCATTTGTTTAAAATCTCACTTGATTGCCCCTAGATTAGTGAAATCAACGTCGCAATGATAAGGATAATATGATCTATTTCATTTTTAATATAAAGCTGGCATGTTGAGGACCCTTCTTTTCGAATGGACAAGACCAAACAAAATCTATTTTTGTTTTATTAATCTATTGTTTAGTCTGTACTATTATTACATTTAACCAGACATGGAGAATATAAAGTACAGATCAAATATTATTCTGAGTAAAAAAGAATGAAATGCCTGGTTTTAAAGTAATGTTTTAATAAGTACTTGAAAACATAGAGCCAGACAAGGATTCCTTCTGACAAACCTTTTTGCGCCAACGTTCTGAGTTCTGACAAACAAAACATGCACATTTAGTACGCAGTGGTTTTTGTTACATTCATTTCAGTGAGAGTGCTTAACTTATCTCAGATATACTTTTTAGACATATTTTTACATAAATCCAAATAAATTTATTCATATATTTATTTTGTATATTGTAAAATTATTTCTGAACCATAGTTTTATTTTAACCCAAACACTCCCTACACCTATTAATTTTTTTAAATTAATCTGATTAATATCTCTAATAATAATTAAGTAAGAGAAGAAGAGAAGAAATTAATAGAGATGTTTAGAGTATTTTAAAAAGAACATATTATTAATTAATTTAACTAACATCTTTAATTTACTCAAATTAATTAGTTAGATCTTACATTAAAAATTATAGGCCGCAGTATATATCTTAGAGTATTAGATTTACTTATAGGAGAATTACGATAAAGTCTTAAGAAAGAAATATAATAACTAAAAAATCTTAATAACAATTGAGCAGTTTGTAACGATAAGTTAGAGAATAGGAAATGATAATTTCTAACTTGTTATTAGAATTTTTTATGATTATTTTTTTTTAGCTTGGGAGCCCGCTGTAATTCTCTTTTTACCGTCCGCAACTCTTTATTACGCCTCTACGCTTTTCATCAGGTCGGTAAGGCTTCTGAATTAATAGTCTCTAGGCCTAGGGCCCGTTTTTCGACAAATATTCATGGGCTGAGAAATGGCCCATATATATGGATCTTTCTATACAGAGGCCAGATTTCAACTAACCGGAAACAAAACGAAAGGTGTCATTAACTCCAGAGGGAAAAATTCCAGCGATCCTTTTGATACGTGAACCATTGACATTAGAAGAGTGACTATGCAATTACTCATAAACTAATATTTAAATTTTTATTAAAAAAAAGTACTCATATTTAATACCTGATAATACTTTAAAAATTAAAAGAATATCTTTGCTTATGAAAAAGAAGAAGAGTGACTGTTGAAGGACCTTTCCGATGAATCAAAAAAAAAAAAAAGAGTGACTATTGAAGGATGAAGAGTCAATTTTTTTTTTGGTCAAAAGATGAAGAGTCAATTGAAACAAACAAACAAATCAGAGAATCAATTATATCTTGTTGTAAAAATAAAAGGCAAAGCATGATCCGAATTGTATTTCTCAACTTTATAAGTATTTACTGATTATTTGATATTATTGATAAAGCTTTTTTTAAAAAAATAAAAAGCAAAGTGATATTCTAAAAAAGAAACGTCTTACAATACAGAGAATGAAATAGGATAAACGTAAGAATTAGAAAGCTGAAAGAAAATTTATGAAAAAAAGAAATCCGCAACGAAAAATAAGGCTGCACCATATGAACTAGTGTGGATGAGAAAGCTTCAGCGTAGAGGAAATATCTTAACACATAAGACTTCTAGTTTTGGCCTTGAGGTCTGACAATAGAAGTCTGATTGAAGAATCCGGCAGGGATAAACAATAGCTCCAAATCTTTCCTTCATGAAGTGCAATATTCCGTTTGTGCCAGATGGTATTAATCAGAATGATGATTCCAGGCAATAAATTGTCAAGACCATCCTTGTGCAACTCCAACGGAGTGTTTTAAAGCCAGATGGTGGAGCTGGGAAAGTTGAAATCTGGGAGGATGTTGCTAAAACAACCAAACCAGAGAGCTTTCACCTAAGAACAGTGTATAAAAAGATGTTCCATAGGCTCCCTCTTGAGAACAGCCAAAAAAAGCGACAATTTGAGACCTTGAAGCGGTGGGCACTGCAGAATGGAAAATTTTCCAGATGAGAAGTTGTTTGTGAGGGGAGGGAGATGGACAAAAGGAATTTTCAAAAGGGATCCATATTGTATTTTAAAAATTCCTTGAAGATCAAGGGACATGCTGAAATGATTTGTTCTGGCAATCCCATGGGCTTTTTTTTTTTTTTTTGCGATTATGCTTTTAAAATTATAAGTAGTGTAGTGCTTACTAGTGTAAAACGAAAGAAATATCAAGGAACTATATACTGGGCTAAGTTCTCGTTGGTTAATTTATCTGGTATTTGATGTAATGTCTTTTTGGGGCCTTGATTACTTCTTACTCGTATTATATATGAAATAGAATGTGCCAAGCCTTTTTAATGTTGCTATTTCTGTGGGTGATGCCAGAGAAACAAAAGGAGAAAAATACTCTCTAACTTGGCAATTAAAAGAAATTTGGGACATATCGCATTATTTTTGAATAATTTGTACAGCTGATTCCCTTTCAAGCAATTTTCTTCTAGATGCAAGATTTTCAACAATCCAACAGATCAACTCAGTAACAGAATCTTATTTCTAAAAATACAAATGCTTGCAGTTTAAAGAGAAAATCAATGCACTTGAACTACAATGCCTAATTCACTTTCTACGCCAATAATTCTTCCCAAATGAAACCACTCTCCAATTCACATGGTTTCATAGATTACACATTATATCTTAAAACTGAGACACAAATCAGGGGAGACAGAGACACACTGAAGTCATGAAGGCCATATATGATTGAGGCTTCATTGTTTTACAGCTTGAGTCTCAGAACTTCTCTGCCAAAACTTAAAGTTAAGAGACCTTCTTTCAAGCATGGCCTCCACCTCCTCCATTGGAAGGCCTTTGGTCTCCGGGACAAAAATGATGACGAAGATGATGGCGGCGATGGTGATGAAAATGAAGATCATGAAGGTCCAAGAGGTGCCTATGGCGTCTGTTAAAGACAAGAAGGACTGTGCAACAATGAGGTTGGAGACCCAGTTGGAAGTGGAAGCCATCCCTCCACAGATCCCTCTGTACCTCAGAGGATAAATCTCAGAGTTGACCACCCAAGGCACAGTGCCCATCCCAGGAGAGAAGAAGATGATGTACAGTCCAAGCCCAGTTAGGGCAAGAAACCCATATTTGCTGGGACATCCCCTTGTGTACCATGGTCTATCTTCTTTCCCACACAAATCCTTCGTGGTGGAATTTGAGATCAAACACGCCCCTGGTAAAAGCTGTACAATAATTCACCTCAGTGAGAATGTAATGCTATAATACGCATACCCAACAGAAAGTAATGTTGAAAAGAGCAAAATGTACCTTATTGGATGGTGAAGCACAGAAGCCACACTCAGGAGAAGATCTGATGCACTTCATGCAATTCCAAGAGGAAGGGTTGAAAGCTGAAGAATAATCTGGGCATGTGTAATTACTGAAGTGAGAGGTATCAACGCTACTGACCATTGGTGAGTGGGTGGTGGTCTCATGAAACGCAACAGTGAGAACCACAAGAGCCATCACAACCCCAGACAAACTCACCAATAGAAGTTTCTTCCTTCCAGTCTTATCAACGAAGTATATGCTAAGAATTGACCCAAATGCATTAAGTCCGGCTGTGACCAGTGACAGAAGAAGTGCTGTTTGGTTTGAAGCAAAACCAGCAAGTTGAACTATGGTGGGACTGTAGTACATCACTGTGTTGATACCCACAAATTGCTGGAAAATTTGCAGTCCCATTCCTGCATATAATCCTCTTCTCACAGTCGTGGTCTTCAACAGCTTCAATATGCTTACTTCTTCTGAAGATGCAGATTCCTTGACTTCCATTTCAACTGATTCCTTCAAAGCATTGATCTCATCTTCAACTTCACCAGGTGGGTATATCTTCTTCAAGATTGCTTTTGCTTCTTCTTCCTTTCCCTGTTGTGTCATCCATGAAAGACAAGCAAAGATCAGATTTTTTCACGGTGGCGTTTTGTGAAAGAGTGTTTTGAAATAGCAAAGATGATGAAGGAACCTTTCGAAATAGCCAACGAGGTGATTCAGGGAGCATTAGCATGAGCGCGATCTGAATCAAAGCAGGTGCTGCTGCCACTCCTAACATCCATCTCCATGTTCCCGGTGCCTGCAACAAATGATTTCTATTATCAGATCATTGTTATCCAAAATTTTAATGCATTGAATGGGTCATTCTTAATTCAACTCTTTTTGACGTGAGACGGCTTCATTACCTTAGTGAAGGCCAAGTTGATGACATAGGAAAGGAACTGGCCGCCAGTGATGAGGAAGCCATTGAGACTGACAAGGGCGCCTCGAACTCTGGTAGGAGAAGCTTCAGAGATGTAGAGAGGTGAAGCCATGGAAGCCATTCCGACGCCGAGGCCGACGAAGACTCGGCCTACAAGCAGAATGGGGGGGCCGGTAGCGGCAGACATGATGACAGAGCCGGCGAAGAAGAGGAAATCTGCGAGCAGAATGGCCTTCTTCCTTCCAAATCTGTCGTTGATCCATCCTCCTACTGCTGCTCCCACTATGGCTCCTGCAAGTGCCATGCTCACTATCGCTTCCTGTTTCATCATCACATCGTTACATCAGAGCGAAAATTATTTTTTTGTAGTATTATATAATGGAATTAGATTCTATATTTGCCCCCTTTTTGTTGTATTCTGAGGATTGGACGCCTCATGTTGATCTGTTTTTCAGGATACAAATCTTAAGACGTGCCTTTTTAGTTCAATCGAAGCACAAATATATTTCTTAACTTGGAATTTTGTTACTAACTTCTATTACTAATGCCCTAACATCCTTTGTTTTGTTTTTTTTTTTTTTTTTCATATGATACACCGAATAAGCACCCTTCCCCCCATGATACTCCTCTGGAGAGAGAACTCAAGGTCTTATATTTATACTTGAGGAATACATCTTTAAGAAAAATTCAAGCTGACCACCTCGTTCAGATTATAGAATAATAAACCTTCTAAGATATTCACTAAAAAAAAAATTCTAAGATTAATTATTAATCAAGAAATTATTAATTAGTCTATATATAGTATAAAATGCCTAGTAAGACGTATGAGTTATAAATAGCACAACATATTTATTAAAATATATGCAACCTACAATAACCGTTCAAAATATTACTTGTGATCTTTAATATAAAAACTAGTTTTACATTTAATTTGGTCCTAGATATAAGATATCAATTTACTTTGTCTCTCATATTTATCTATTTTTTCTAAAATAATTCTTGTAGTAGTTGCATATATTAAATGTTACATCAAATAATAGTTTGAGCTATTTCAAATAATAGTTTGAGCTATTATATATGATTAACAAGGATATTTTAAGAAATATAACACTTATTTATTATAAATAACTAACTTAACAAACTTTCATAATCTACTCAAATTAATCAACTAATTCTTATCTTAAGAACTGAATGTAGTATAATAATATAGCAAGGATTAGCAAGCATCATCCTTTTGCCCGGCAGGCAACAGACAAAGTTAGCCGATATTCTTCACACTCACAGCAAAACTCTTTGAATAGAATATATGAAGCAAATAAAAAATAAATAAAATGTTTTTTATGTATTTATTCTATTGTTCAGCTTATTTCTGTCATAATAGTTTAGTTCAATAATAATAATAATAATAATAATAATGAGATTAATCTAATCTGCAGTATCCTAAGAATAAGGGAACACTAATTTGGAATTATTTGTATGGTAAGTAACTAAGTCAGTATTTTAAAAAGGCATGGAGCGTACGCTGAATTCTCATCTAATTAATTAATAACTGCAATGAGTTGGCCCTAAGTTAGACATCCAGATAAATTATGTTTAAACAGTGAAATATCAGTAGAACTTAATTAATTTATTAATTAATCCAGGTATTATTTTGTTTGTGTTGAATTTGAAATTTTGAACAAACCATCACATGCTCTTGTTTTTATGTTCAGGGTTCAGGCCTGTGGTTGGGAACCGCAGGATATAGGAAGGGGCATTATTTTCCATTAACAAAAATAGGAATAAAATTAGAGCATTTATTACTATTTTCTTACTGAAAAATGAAAATGAAGATAAGCATTAATTACCTGCAGCCATGTCTGTCTATCCACGGCTTTAAAATCATCTCTTATGTACAGAAGAGCCCCTGATATTACACCTGCACATTCCCAACACAAACAACAGCAATTTTAGTCTCAAATCATGATTTAAAAACAGAAAAGAAAAAGAAAAACATGAATGTGTGTGTGTGTGTGTGTGTGTGTGTGTTTTCTGTGTACTTGACGTGGGTGAGACACAAATATTGTCTCTTTTTTTTGTTCCGACTGTAGAAACCGAGAAAATGAGAGCATGAGAAGAAATATGAAAAAACAGAGGACAAGTAACCACACAAGCCGAAAGAACACCAACCAATAATACCATGGAAGATGGAAAAAAAAATATTGGATGCAAATACATGAAATAGTATGTTGAAAAGGAAGCAGAGCTGATTTATACTCTGTGTGTGTGTGTGTGTGATAGATAAAAGAGAAGCAGAGGAATGTTATGAGAAACAGAGGAAAACAGAGGAAGGATGAAGGAAGACACACACACGCATACAGAGAGAGAGAGAGAGAGGGTGGCAGGCAGTTACCAGTGTCATAGCCAAAGAGGAGGCCACCGATTCCAGCAGAGAAAGCGAGTTGAAGAACATAAGGATTCTTGTACGACAGAGACAAACATTCTCTGAAAGCAGAGGCATCGGCTTCTGGAATTCCGCCTTCCATGTTGAGGATTCTGGAGGAAGCTTAATGCTTGGTGGCTACTGGGTTCTTTGTTTTCTGTAGCTATCCAAACAGATAAGAGCCCAGAAGAAGAAGAAGATACCAGAGAGAGAGAGAGAGAAAGTGAGGGAGAGAGTGAGATAAGGAAGCCCTGATAGGTAATGTATTTATAGACACAAAGAAAACGCTCGTGATGATGAACGCGGTTGAAGAATCTTTCAAATCATTTGGAGTTCCCCCCCCCCCTCTATTTCTTTCTTTGTTCCTTCTGCGTTACACTTCACTAAAATTATTATTTTTAATTAATTTTGTTCAAGTGACGAGCTAATGAACTAACTCAACATGAATCAGAAATACTAAAATTACAAACAAACAAAAACAGAAAAAATGTAAACACAACCACTATGACAGTTCAAACGGAATGATATATGATATGCGAATACATAGTAGTCAAAATTCAACTCTCTTAAATGATCATAGCTAGAGAAAATTCCATGTTTTGTATTAATTTTTTTGGGGGAAACTTGGTAACCACTATAGCTATAACTTTTTTTAAAAAAATATTTTGCATTAATAATAATGTTAAAAACTTATGAATTTTAATAATTCAAATATAATATAAACAAGGTACAAATTACACGAATTAAAAAAAATAAAAAAATCATATGGTTGAAATTGTTTTAACCTTACTATATAAAGAAGAAAATAAATATGCAGCCCCAAATAAAAAGGAAAGAAATGTGATGAAGAGGGACAGGTCAAGAGAACCAGAAACATCCGAAGGTTTCTTATTTGACCGACTTTGGAGAACATACCCCGAAGATGATGGTAGGTTGGGTTGAGAGATACCCCACGTCTTCGCCTCCAAATCAATTTTCAAAACCAATCGCTTTCTTTTCTTTTTTTTAAATTTTTTTTAATTTTGAAAATTAAAATTTAAAAAAGAAAAAAAAACAGGTATTCAGCTTGTTTTTCTTTTCCTGTTCGATTTTGGAAAAACATTCTAACGTTTTCCAACTTTAAGCAAGAGAAGTTCATCAAAATAACCCGTTCTTGTCTTTGATTCTCGTTGTCAATTTTGAATTCTGACTTTGTTATGATAGCCGTTCATTATTACAGAGCTTATCATATAGAAGCGTAATTTTTTGGACTTACATATCTTATTTTTGTTCTTTTCAATTTATTTATTCATATTCTCTTATAAATCTTATTCAAAACAAATCTTTTTTTTTAAAACAAAAAGCTCTCTTACCCCACAACTGATATGGGCATGCAAAGTTTGTCAACCGTGTAAGAAGTTATACATAATTTTTATTTAAAAATTGAAATCAATTATTTACTAGAAATGGCCATTTTTTTTAAAAAAAACATATTTAGACTGAGATTAATAATGAGACACTAAGTATCCGCTAAACAAAGCCTTGTATTTGGATTCTGTGAATAAGAAAATATATAAAAATGAGTTTACCTCCACAATTAGAGCTTGAGTTAGTATGTGAGAATATAATACTCCTCCGGTCCTTAATATAAGACATAATTATTGAGTTGATTTTGATTCTAAATATAAGATCTATTTATCATATTTATTAATTTTTTCTAAATTATCTCTATAGATACTCCCTCAACTATGATCAAATAGAATGGAGAGGGAGGATATCAAGAAAGATAATTATGATATCTTAGGAAAAATATGTCATCTTTCTTATAATTAACTAACTTACCTAACTTTTTTAATTTAATCAAATTAGTTAAATAGGTTTTATATTAAGGATCATATAAGTCTTTTGTAAACGAATACTAGTATAATTTTTTAATAATAAAATCACGTGACAAGGAGAGTATTAAAGGAAAAAACAGTAGAGCAAGAAGCAGAAAAGAAATAGGAAAGGAAAGGGAAGGGAGGGTACGTCGGAGAAAGGCAAATATGCAATGAACCTAAAATTCAAAAGGTGAGGTGTGGGATCAATAATAACGAAAGCTAAGACACTAACAATAGGAAGAGAGACACTTGGCTCTTAGGCCTTATTGTCTGTAATAAAATGTGACAAGTAACAACCAAGATTCACTCACTCTCACTTACTATTATTATAATTATAGTTATTATTGTTTGTGTATTTTCATTTTCAAAGCCAAAGTGAGAATTGAACTCCTCTTTTCCGTTTTGTACATGTGTTGCTTTTCTACATGATGAATGGAATATGACTTTTCTTCCCCTCCCTCTCTCTCTTTTTACTTTTACTTTTCCACATTCTCGGATCCCTGTAGTGTGCCTTAATTTCCAGGATGCTTTTCATTCATGCTTCCACTTCTGTTGGTGTACATGTGTTCTCCTCACTTATTGATATCTGAGTTCATCATGATGTCCACGCTTCGTTCGTTCTAGTACTTAGCTTCCTATAGTTTGTTCATTATTTGAGTCAATTATGACCTATCAGTTGCTGGATGCATGTGAAATTAACAGATAATTAAGGAGACACTTCATGAACAAGGGTAGTAAAAATAGGGGTGGAATGTTAATCAATGTGTCAAAAGAAACACAATTTCATTTAATCCCAATTCTTTCAACAATTTCAACCCATGTGAGCTTTAGAAGAAGGCTCAAAAAAAAAAACACTCAATGAAATTATTAAGTGAGATATTTTGATGAACAACCTCTCTAAAAATTTGATTGTTAATAGAGTTTAATGATATTGTATGATCTATGTGGTTGATCCTATTCAGTAGGCTAAAATTCTGTTGTTGTTGTATCATCAATTCTTAAGTATGATATTCACCAACAATGGTTGGTCCTAACGAATAAAAACAATTAAGTTTCACAATAAGGTTAACGGCTTAGTAACATAATTTCATTGCTAAACTAATCAACAATGGAATTTTATTGTTTAGTGACGGAAAATTTTGCCACTAATTTTCTTTGTTGTTTTATAAACTATATGAATCAATTGATACTTTTGGGGGAAAAAAATTCTTACATTTAAGTAACTTTATTTTAACTAATTTTTTTAATCTTATAAGAGTAATTATATGTTACCCAAAAAAAAGTAATTCTAAATGCTTAAAGTAGTTGGCAAAAAATATTATTCTAAACAAAAGAAACTCTCTGTCTCCCTAATATTATAGTGTATATAATGCAAGTGTCCAACAAAAATTAACGACAGCCCCAGTCAGTTTATCAACAATCACCTTGACTGCTACTCATCAGTTAAAACTATTTCTTAGAACAACCACTCTGAACTACAATATTTTTTAGCTCTTCAAGGTTTTAGCTCTCCCAGAAATATTTTTCTTTTTTTAAGGTGGCCATTTGTTCTTACAACTCAGAAGCTTAAGCAGGATGTTCACAAGATATTATATCATATATATTTATAAAATAATGGTGATGATTGGTTGAGGCATTTGGATGGAGACAAAATATAAAGTTCTAAGGGTTTGAAATGTGGGGAATATTTTAAGTAATCTTAACTGACAAAAATGCGATTTTTTTACAACACAAAACTCCAAACATTGAAAAATGGCAATCCCTAGGCAACCTGAAGGGTCAAACACACCAGGCAATCTCTTAGGATAAGTGTTATTGATAGATCATTGATCACCGTTTCTGACAGAAAAAATATTTTTGAATTTTGACTTGTTTCATGCACAGGCTTGGGCAGTCGATCGAATGATACAGATCGAATAATTTTTTTTTTAAAAAATCACTATAAATATTACATCATGTTTATTTTTTAGTGGCTCAATTATATGAGCAAGACGAAGACTCTGATTCACATATAGAAGATGATGGGGTTAAGACTTTTTAATTTTATAATAACTTTGAAATATATGATCTCGTTAAAAGCTATCAAATCATTTTGGACTAATCCTAAATTGAGATGTGCCATTGAAGCCTTCTTGGCTTAGTTTTTGATCCTGTATTTCTTAAAAATAAAAAAGTTGGTACAATATTCGGAATAGATATTATATGTTTAAAAATGAGTGAGAAAATATCTTTTATGAAATGAAAATTCATTAAAAATAAATAAAGGGACAAAACCCTGTAAAGATTCATGAAATCTTTTTATTTCGAGTTGAGGGATTTTTTTTCCAATGCAATAATTCACATAATAGATAATATATTTAATATACAAGATGAGGTTCTACCTAGCTTCTTACGGTTAATTAATTATAAGAAAATGGAGATAGATAAGGTTCTCATGGAAAAATGTTATTTTCCATACATTGATATGTTAATGTGTATGAAGGCCTTTTTCCTTTTAAGAAAGAAATTCGAATATGATGTTTTCTTTAAAGATTCAATCTAAAAGATCATCTTTTTTTTATCTCTTTTGTTTGTTCAAGATCTTAATTAACCCCCATGATTCTTAATTACTTTAATTTGTCAAAAATATTCTTCTGGGGATATAGATAGAAAGGAACCAAACAAGAAAAGTTTTACCCGAAATTCACCCCCAAAAGAAACGGAGCAATATGATGATTCTTATGGTTTTGATCATTTCCAGGTGTTATCCAATAAACATAAAATATGAAAGATTCTAAAGCATGCATGAAAATTTAGTTTCTATATATATATATGTGTGTGTATAATTAAAAAGCTCATATATATCTCCCCCATCAAATCCACATGTTGCATAATTTGCACTTCCTTTTATTCTCAAACAAATAATATTCTTATCCAAACACAATAAAGTTGAATGATCGTATTCACAATGAAAAGTGACAATGACAAGTGATCATATATACATAAGCACATGTAATGTCTCATACTGTTTTGTCTAGCCGTGCGACATATCATATTGATACAGTTTAAACTACTTTTCAGAAGTAATTTGAGGTTTAGTTTTGGTTGTAAGTGCAAGATTTCAATCAATTTTATCCCCAAATTTAGAAATTTTAATAGGAGTAATGGCTCAGGAAACAGTTTGTTACATATAACTAACTTAAGTAATTTTTTAAATATCTATAAATTTAGTATGTAACTCCTACATTTAGAACTCTAAGAGGTACCTTTTTTTTGGTCAAAACTAGCTAGCACTACAAAAAAAATGGTGAACTAGTGATGAAATTCTTGTCACTAATCAGCAATGGAATTCTATGGCTAATAAATTAGTGACAGCTTTTGTAAATTTCATCA